TTGCTGGGTCTGTTCCCCACCAGGGGCAGGGGCTCCACCCTTCCGCCTCTTGCACAGCAGTCCAGCACCCAATAGGACAGCAAATATGGGCCGAACACATGACAGTGCTCCATCACGACAGGGTCCAAAGAGATACCCTATTAAACCCACTGACATTTTATGGCCCTAAGCAAAGCAACACGTGACTTGAAACTAACGTTTCTCAACCTCAGCACCACTGACACTTTGTACTAGAGTATTATTTGTGTTACGGGCTGTTCTGGGCATAGTAAGATGTTTAACAGCATCCCTGGCCTTGATCCGCTAGATGCCGGGAGCACACCCCATCCCCAATGATGACAACAAAGAGTATCTCCAGGCATTGCTGCATGCTCCCAGTGGGCTGCGGGGGGGTCGCCCTGGTGGAGAACCACTCCCTGCTTTAGACAGCAGGACCTCTGTGTGTCTACCGTCACCCAAGCCTGCATGGGCAGCCGGTGTGTGTGGGATACCTGTCCACAAGTCACACACCACTTGCCGAGGACTCCAAAACCACCTGCCCGTGCTCCCTCGTGCAAGCTGGCAGGCATCCCAGTAACCTGCATGGTCCTACTAACTTACAGCCCTGAAGGAACACCATGTCCTGGGGTCCCCCTCAGGACATCACCCTTACAACAGTGAGCTGGAAATGCATCCCTGAGAGTCCCTATCAAGGACCTGAAGGCTTGCTCTCTGAGGGGTCAGGGAGCACCATTACTAAGCTCTTTACCCCAGAACTGGCTTTTTCTGTCTCTTTACCAGGAACACATCCATCTCACACAGGACTGCCAGAGCATGTTCCAAAATGCAAATGTGATCATGTCATCCCTCTTCTGAAAACCCTTCCTTGGATCCCTGCTGCCCTCCAGAAAAAGTCCAAACACCTGAGCAAGACTTTGCCACCCTGGACAAGCTGGACACCACTCGTTAGCAACAACAATGGCAAAAATACAGCAGGGGTTCCCAATGGGTGAGTGCCTAGCCCATGCCATGCACCATGTTGAACCCCTCTAACATATTAACTCATTTATTCACTCCCAACCATAACCCTGCAGTGTGGACACCAGTATTATTCCCTTTCTAGAGATGAGAGAATTAAATCTCAGAAAGCAGATGTAACTCGCCCATGGCCACACAGCAAAGCTCCTCAAACAGTGTTCCAAGTCAAACCCCATGCTGCTCGTACCTAACGCAACAATGTCGGCTCCATGAGGATTTGAAGCTGATTACTGCCGTGTCTTCAGTACCTAGGACAGTGCCTGGCAGCGCGGATGCTCAACTACAGAAGGAAGGAGGGATGGCAGGATGGGTGGAAGTCTCAAGAGCATCATATGCCAAATCTAGCTAATTACCAGGACCACTGGGGGGCTGATTAAAATACGGAGTCCCGGGGCGCCTGGGTGGCTCAGTTGGTTAAGCGACTGCCTTCGGCTCAGGTCATGATCCTGGAGTCCCTGGATCAAGTCCCACATCAGGCTCCCTGCTCGGCAGGGAGTCTGCTTCTCCCTCTGACCCTCCCCCCTCTCATGTGCTCTCTCTCATTCTCTCTCTCTCAAATAAATAAATAAAATCTTAAAAAAATAAATAAATAGGGGCGCCTGGGTGGCTCAGTCGTTAAGCGTCTGCCTTCGGCTCAGGGCATGATCCCGGGGTCCTGGGATCGAGCCCCGCATCGGGCTCCCTGCTCAGGGGGAAGTCTGCTTCTCCCTCTCCCTCTCCCTCTCCCCCTGCTTGTGTTCCCTCTTTCGCTGTGTCTCTCTCTGTCAAATAAATAAATTAATTAATTAAAAAAATAAAATAAAATAAAATACGGAGTCCCAAACTACCTAGTGAATGACAGTCACCTTCAAACTCTCCAGGGAGAGGGCAAAATTGCATTTAGTCAACCGAAGGGGGAGAACTACAGGACATGGATTTCAGGAGACAAAATCCCATCTCATGCCCCTTAGAATGAGCTTCAGGAGAAGGTTCCAGGAGCTGGTGTTTTTAAAAGTCCCCCAGGTATCTGATTGTCAGTCAGGCTTGGGACCCACTGCCCACTCTCAGTATGGCATCCCTGCTTTTACCATTTGTACCCCTTCCACACCCAGCAGGCCACCAACCCCACCCCAGCTCCAACAAGTATCTGGGCCACTTGGGAGATCAAGTGTAGCCAAATGCAAGCAAAATTGGGATGAAAGTTGGCTGCTCACTCACATGGGCATTTTCAAAGCAGGGCTTCTGGCTCTGTACCACCTGAGACCTGCTTGGCTCCAAAGCCAGAAGAAACCTTTTGGAAAGCTATTTAATCTGACTCATGATAAGAAATCAAATGAAGGGGCGCCTGGGTGGCTCGGTCGTTAAGCGTCTGCCTCCGGCTCAGGTCATGATCCCGGGGTCCTGGGATCAAGACTCGCATTGGGCTCCCTGCTCGGCGGGAAGCCTGCTTCTCCCTCACCCACTCCCCCTGCTTGTGTTCCCTCTCTCCTGTCTCTCTCTCTGTCCAATAAATAAATAAAATCTTTTAATTAAAAAAAAAATTCCCGGGGCACCTGGGTGGCTCAGTCGTTAAGTGTCTGCCTTCGGCTCAGGTCATGATCCCAGCAGCCTGGGATCGAGCCCCACATTGGGCTCCCTGCTCAGCCGGGAGCCTGCTTCTCCCTCTCCCACTCCCCCTGCTTGTGTTCCCTCTCTCGCTGTGTCTCTCTCTGTGTCAAATAAATAAATAAAATCTTTAAAAAAAAAGAAAGAAATCAAATGAAGAACTATGCCAAGCTAGCAGAGTCCACCTGTGAATGGTCAAGTTTGGAATCCCACTGCAGCATGGATTCAAGTTTGGGAAGAGGTACCTCACGGGCTTTTGGGGGGGTGCTGCCAAACTGCCTTCTGACTCAGAAATAACACTTATAGGAAGCTGTCCTTCAGGTGTGCCCACGTTAGAAGAATAAAAGCATGCAAGGATAACCCACACACACTGCTGGTGGGAATGTAAAATGCTGTAACCACCTTGAAAATAGTCTGGCAGTTCCTAAAATAATTAAACAGAGTTACCATATGACCCAGCAATTATACTCCCAGGCATACGCCCAAGAGAAATGAAAACATACACCCACACAAAGACTTGTACATGAACGCCCACAGCAGCACGATTCACAGTTGCCAAAAAGTAGAAACAACCCAAAGGTCCATCAATGAGCAAATAAACACATTGTGGAAAATCCACACAATGGAATATTATTCAACCGCACAAAGGAATGACGTACCAACACGCACTACAACATGGATGGACCTCGGGAACATCACGCTAAGTGAGTGAAGCCAGACACAAAAGGCCTCATGTTACAGAATCCCATTTATGGGAAATGTCCAGAACAGGGCAATCTACAGAGACAGAAAGGAGACTCAGGGTTGCTTAGGGCAGGGGAGGAGGGTGAGGGCTATCAGGGACAGGGTTTCCTGCTGAGGTGATGAAAAGTTCTAAAATTGATGGAGGTGGTGGGTGGTTGCACAGACCTGTGAATACACTAAAAACCACCAAATTGTTCGTTTTCAGTGGGGGGTAGGGTATGTGAATTCTATCTCGATAGAGCTATTATTTAAAAAAAAAAAAAGGAAGAAGAGAAGTATAGCTGCAGTAGCTAATAGCAAAACACCCGAAATAACCCCAGTGTCCACCTCCGGGGCTCAGACCCTGAATCACAGCCAGATGCTACGTGGCCGTTAAAGAATCAGGCAGACCCATGTGCGGATCAGAACCCTCCTCCAAATAATCATTAGAAAAACAAATCAAGGGGCGCCTGGGTGGCTCAGATGGTTAAGCGTCTGCCTTCGGCCCAGGTCATGATCCTGGGGTCCTGGGATCGAGTTCCGCATTGGGCTCCCTGCTCCTTGGGGAGCCTGCTTCTCCCTCTGCCTCTCTCTTTCTCTCATGAATTAATAAATAAAATCTTTAAAAAAACAAATCAAGGTGTACAAATTTTAGTAGGGACCCATTCGTGCAAAAAACACGACTTTCACATGATACAAGCACAGAATACTCTGGAAGCCAGAAGAACTTGGTAACGAGCTCGCCCCGGGGCACAAGGTGGGGCTGGGGAGGAGATACATGTATTAATGAATTGTTTGATTTTTTTTTTCCCAGTGTATATTTTAATTTTTCAATTATGCTGACTTTTTAAAAAAGAAGTCCATTTAAAAAAATGCAAATTAAAGCAAGTCTGCAACTGAAAATTGCTTAAGCCTCCTTACTCCGTTTGTTAAAAACAGTCTTAGAAACTTTAGGAACTGAGCCAATTGCCCAATCTAAGGTGGGTGGGGAAAGAAAACACCACCCCCAGGACCAGAGCTTCATTTAAAAGCTCCAGAATCCTCAGTGACGTGCTCTGTCCACACGGAGGAAAAGTAAAGGCCTCTGGTTCTGTGGTTCATGGTAAAACAAAACAGGCATTTGGCTAGCAAGCCTGGAGTTTCTGTAGCTCCGTCATTCAGCCATCAGGAGGGCAGAGAGCGGGCGCCTGGGTGGCTCAGTTGGTTAAGCGACTGCCTTCAGCTCAGGTCATGATCCCAGGGTCCTGGGATCGAGCCCCGCATCGGGCTCCCTGCTCTGCGGGGAGCCTGCTTCTCTCTCTCCCACTCCCCCGCTTGTGATCCCTCTCGCTGTGTCTCTCTCTATCAAATAAATAAATAAAATCTTTAAAGAAAAAAAAGGAGGGCAGAGAGCTTGACCAGCAGCAGAAACTAAAGGATCCCCGATGCCGTCAGGCAGGGCGCACACCCCTGCCAGCCCAGGTGAGCCACCTTATGTCACTTCCAAGTTGGCCCACGCAGGCCTCTGTTGCTTCACCAGGGCGTTTCGGGCCGAACTTCCCCCACTTATTCTAAGCGCCACTGGAGACCCAGACAGAATGGCCACACTTGCGTTTCCAGAAGAAGATAAGGTATCGAGCCAATAAGCGAAGGCAGGAAGGGGAGAAGTGCACAGGCCGGGGCTCCAGGGTACTCACAGAAGCCCTCGATCTTGTCGGCTGTCTTGCTCCAGGCCACTTGGCGCGTCTCCATGATCACCTGGACGGTCCTCCGCTCCGGGGTGGACTTGCGGAAGCTGAACACCGTCATCACTGTGCCCAGCTCCAGCGCTCTCTTGATCTGACTCTTCTCGTATTCAGGAAGGGTGTCCACGCTGACTGGGGCGGTCATTGTCAGCAGAATAGGGGGTGGCAGGAGTGAGGGCAGAGGACGCTGGAAGGGCAGAATAAAGGAGTGAATTGGTTTTTGTTAACTGGGTGGGGGAGGGGATTAGTTAACAGCCAAAATCCTGTCTCATGCCCATCGGGATGAGTTTCAGGAGGCGGCTCTGGTGGCAGGGAATCGTGGACCACTCAGACCACCCATGCAGGACACAGAGGTTTAAACAGAAGTGGACATGGGGGAGGAGGCCCCTCACCTCAGTGACTGAACTGTTATGCTGGCTTTGAATAACCAAATCACCCCAGCCTGGCAGTGACCCCTACCCTCCCCACACACTTCCATGCTTAGAATATTTGAATAGCCAAAGCAGCCCAGAATGGCCCCACTCCCCACCCCCAGCATCCTTTTATATTCTGCCTAGATTTTCCTCAGCAGCCCCTTACTTCCTAAGTGAAGTTGGGAACAGAAAAAAATATTAAGCCACTTCAGAATGTGTCTGTGGAGACCTCTGCACGGAAACGAAGCCAAAATGACAGAAAAGGTCAGGGCGCAGCTGCCCCAGGGTCGAGGCCTGGTGTGTGGCCCTGGGTAGGCTGCACGACCTCCGCAAGCCTCAGTCGCATCATTTCTCTAACGGCGCTGTTGGGATGGTGAGGGGCACCCGGCATTCTGCTCAGCGCGCAGTAGGCGTTCTGGAACACCACTCATACCCACACATAGTCAGAGAGATGCCAGGCCCCAAATCCAACAGCCATCCTTGTCTGGACGTACTCACACCCACATCCAATCCATGAGCAAATGCAACCCATCTTCCCGGCTCACTGGCTCCTCCCAGGATCTCACAGCTGGATTGTTCTCGTGGCCCACCTGTTCTCCTGCTTCTGCCCCAGCCCCCTACAGCCCAGTAGTGACCAGGAGCTAGAGGACACTTATGGAACAAGATGAAAACCCCGTCAACCCCTCTGACCAGCCGGCTGCAGTCGTGGCCTGAGCCCTGGCTCTGCAGAGGGGAGTCCAATGGAAGACGTTCTAGACCCTCCCCCAAGCCCAAGCCTTATTTCCACACTCCTAAAGGGCGATCCCTCCTTCCAAGAATCTCCAAGGTTCTTGGAAGGATTAAACCAGATAGTGTATCTTGGGGCCCTTAGAACAGTGATGCAAAGTCAGTGCTCCCCAGATTTAGCTCCTGCTACTACTGCCCATCAGTTGTTCCGTGCACCTCCTCCCCGCCCCCCAAATGCCACAGCATTAGGAGCCCACAGCTGTTACTCTGTAGAGAGGCAGGTGTTCAGCCCAGGTCACGCAGGCCCTCACTCTGGGTCCGCCTTCTGACAGCCTCCTGCCACGCTGCTCAAAAGCAGGGCCTCGGTTCCCTCATCTGTAAAATGCAGATAATACCAGTCTCAAGGGGCGCTGGAAGGACTGAAAGCTACAGCCCCCAGCCCTTGGCAGGGCCTCAGGTAATAGTCATCAGCCAGTTGTTCAACATGCTGAGTGTCAACTCTGTGCCAGGAACTGAGCTGGGGACTGGTATGCAAATCAGGGGGAGTGGGGAGAGGCCCAGGTCTTGCCCTTTGCCCCCTCCTCCCTCCAGCTCCTGCCCATCACCAAAGGCACCTCCACAGGCATCTGGAGATAAAACCATGAATTACACCTGCTCTCTGCCCACCTGGAATCAGACCTGTCAGCTCAACCCCTACTTAGATCAGAGAAAGCTTCTGGGAGGAGAGGGTATCTGAATCCAAAAGGTGAAGCAGGAGGGAACAGTGTTCTGATCAGAAGAGCTGGCTTAAGCCAAAGCCCAGCAAGCTGCAGGACTACTAGGCTGTGCCACAGACTCCGGAACGAGCCTCCTGCCTCATCACCCTGTAATCCAGGTCAAGCCGTTGAACAAGGCGTCCGTGGCCAGTCTCATCCTGGTGAACTAGCTGTTTGTTGGCTTTCCCCAGGGGCCCGCACCTGCTATACCTGGTTTTCATCATTTATCTCAATGAGAACTACCAGAGGTGAAAAACCAAGTCCTGAGAGGGGAAATTCCACGATCAAGGTCACGCAGAAACGTGGCAGCACTGGGATCAGAGCCTTGGTCTGAATCCCACGCCCCCAGTCTGTCAGCACCTGCCTTCTGGAACTCAGAAATTCTTTCTGCACCAGAATCTGGCCAGAAAGTTAACTAGTTTGGCCCTCCCAACCCTCTCGAGAGGCGGAAGGCCTTGTCCAAGGTCACACAGCTGGGAAGTGGCAGAAGCAGGATTTGCACCTGGTCCCAGCTCTGCAGCTCTTCACTGTGCTGAACACCCCCCAGCCATGTGCCCCTGGAGTTCCCTCCCAGGGCTCTAGGCAGCAGGGCATAAATAGGGGACACACACCCTGTCACAACACCTCCACCCGCAATTAAACCTGCCTGCCCGGAGGCACTGGGATCTTCATTTCTTTCTGACTCTGGCCCTGGGAAGGCCTTGGACGTAACCTTCCCCAGATTCTGGTTACTTCCAGCTCAGAAGCCCGGTGGATTGGCCCAACTATAAACATCAAGTCTCTCCTGTTGCCTCTAGCCAAGAACTGGAAAGAGGTCCTCATGGCCACGAGATCCTTGGAGTCAACCAACAAAATCCTGCCAGCTCCCGACTCAGGCTTCCAGAGTTTGATGCTTCAGCAACTAAGGCAAGGAAGTCTCCAAGGCTGGCTCCCCAAGGGAAAGCACTAGCTATCAGAGGCAATTTCCATTTTGCTTCTGCTGAAAGAAAAAGAAAGAAAAGAAAAGAAGAGAAAAGAAAAGAAAAGAAAAGAGAGAAAAGCACAAATGAAAGAAAGGGCCTTGAAATCCCTTTTTTAGTCCTGTTTCTCATCCTCCCTGGATAACTTTGCAAAATGACTTATGGTGTCTGAGATTTAATAAGAGGTTTTGCCATTTCTACTTTTCATGTCCTTTTCAAAATAAACTTCTGGGCTACAAGGACCCAGAACCAAGAAGCAGGGACGGTTTCTTCTCTTCAGTGTTCTCTGCACACGTTAGGCCCATAGAGGAGTTCATATCAAATCCCACAGCACAATCCTCTGTTAAACTCTGCACAGTCACATCCCTGAGAGGTAGCTGCTCCTCCAACAGCTCAGAGGAAGGTGGGTACGGCTGCATCTCACACCCCCCCCTGCAGCAACGGATTTTTATTGGAGGAAGAGGTGGTGTCATCCAGGGCAGGGAGGAATGTGAATGAGTCCACTTTTTGGGGGGGGGGGGGGGGCAACCTATGATCATCTGTCAAACCATGAAACATGCATGTGCTCTGATCAGCAATCACCAAGGTGAGGAACAAACACAAAGATGTTCCCAGAAGCATTATTTGTGATAGAAAAGAACACAACTGGGAGGGAGGTCCCTTAAAGAAATCACGGGACATGCACACTAAAGAATGCTCCGCAGCTGTCAGATAGCAACACGAAAATTTATAAGCAATGGAATCCAGAAAGATTCACGAAATAGATGAAAAAAGAGTGGCAAACCAGTACGCATCAAAGAACAGGTTTTTTAAAAGGCTGCCTGCGTATAAATCTAGGGAAAGTGGTTACTTTTAGAGGAGGGGAGGGGAGAGACCAGGTCTTGACTTTTTATTAATTTAAGTGGTAACATATGGATAAGCTTTTCTTTCTCCTGTTTTTACTGTTTTCTAAATTAAGAAAGGTTCTGAAGTTTTCTTATCAGCAATTTCTCACTAACTCCACCCAGCAAAAGGGCTATTCATGGGGTCCCCGCTTTGCCTTTTCTAGAGAAGCATTACACTCTCAAGGTGGGGGGGGGCATGTAGGAGGGGACAATAGAGGTGGGGGTGGGGGCCTGGGTTGGGGGAGGCAGCTGCAGCAGCTTTAGGCGGTTTCTGCATCCATGAAGCCTGCAGGGAGTATTGTCCCCGAACTGGGATACACAAGGCACACACACTTTTGCAGCAGGCTAACGGCCTGGGCCCGGCATAGGCCCCCAAATCGGCCCCTCCCCGCAGAACTGTAGCTAAGGATGATGGCCAAGCCCCACGCATGGCCCTTAGCCAGAGAGGGTCAAGAACTAGCCAGGGCACCCTTTCCATAGATAGGCCCCAATTCTCAACAGCCCTGGAGTGTAGGTTTGAGTAGCCCCAGGATCCAGGGTAAGGAACGGAGGCTCACGGAGGTTCTTCAACGGGCCCTGGGTCACACAGCTGGAATTGAAATTCAAATTAAGTTGATTAACAAGGCCACCTGCTGCCTTGTGCCACGTCACCCCTCCTCAACCCACCAGACTCTTTCAGCCTGGCTTAACATCGGGGTGCTAGCAGAGCCCCTCCCCGTTCTCCACCAGAATCCAGGCGCCAGCCCTTGTCTAAAGGAGACCGTTTTCCCTCAAATTCTTCCGCTTTGCGGGGGCAGGAAGGGGAATGACCTCGTTGGGATTCCAAACCATAACCAGAAAAACGCACAGACGAACACATATAATTATGCATACAGCTGTGGGGTGGGAACGGGGATCCGACTCCCCCCAGACTCTCCCCACCTCTCCTGGCTGAGGGCTGCCCCTTCCGTGGCATCGCTCCGCTACCCACCACCCGCAACCACCTGTGTAATGGGGCCTGGAAGGTGTAATGCAGGGAGGTGCCGGGGGCCTGCCCGGCCGCCCGCCCTCGGCGAGCCCTGAGCACAGACGCGGCCGGGAAGCACCGCCGCCGGACCCCCCGCGGAGCCCCGCGGCCACGGGAGCCTTGAACGCCAACGCCAGCGCGACCCTCCGGGTTCCCCCTGAAATCCCGGGCCGTCCGCGGGCACGGACCGCCGAGGTGGCGCCGTCCCCGGTGAGGAAGTGGCCGGCGGCCGGGCCCCGACCCCCGCCTCCACCGCCCGGCCCCGGGCACAGCGGGCGGGGGCCCCCGACGGCGCGCCCGCTCCCGCCGGCGCCCGCTGCGCCCCGGCGCCGCCCCCGCCCCCGCCCCCGCCCCGGGCGCCCGCGCGCTTTCCCCCCGCCGGGCCGCTCACCTGGCCGTGCCCCCGCCGCGGGTCCCGGCTCCGGGCACTCCCTGCGACGCGCG